GGCATGTCCAGAGGATACCCAACCGTCCTGGCAGCACACGTGGATTCAGCGATGCTCAATTGGACCTCGTTCTGCATGCCATAGTCGCCGTCCCAATATGCATAGGTCGAGTTGACTTGGGGAATGTACCCTAACGGTGTCGTGATGGTTTGGTTGGAGCCATTCAGAGGCAAGTAGCCCGGGCCACGTTCAGTTGACACGAAGCGAGGGTAGCCGTGGTGGAGGGCATCGTTGTACACAGCTCGCTGAGCACCTGCCGAGTGATTCAAGGCTGGAACTCGGACAAGGCGGAGGTCCACTGGTATCCACATGCTGTCCATCGTCGTGCTGACGAGGGCTGAGCCATCAACAGTGGCCTTGGGTCCAACTCCCACAAGGGTACATGCGGACGTGGACGAAGCTGTCAAGGAAGCCACGCACCACAACGCGATGCAGAGCTGCATGTTAGACGTTCTCGCAAGTACGACCCCCTTCTTGCTGAAATGCCAAGCGGCAAGAATTGATGTTCGAATAGATGATCGAGAATGTCGAGCATTACTCAAGATATGTACTAGTATTTCGATATGTACTAGTATTTCGAAGTCCAATCCCACATGAATAACACAACATGTTTAGTCACACAATCGCTCTCAACAACGAAGTCATTATTATCGTCCGCAAGCAACACGCACCGACTTTAACACTGGCACGAGTGTCTATTGTACTAGTATTCCGCATTGCCTTTGAACGTGGTTAACTTTGCCTTGTAATAATGTTAGTGCAAGATGACAACAGACTTTTAGAAATGCATGACACAACCAATAATTTCAACCCTAAGGACCACTACAGTAGTGGATGGCCAAGCGATTATTGCGCAAAAAGTGATCTGGTTCGATCCACCTATTGGTAGTTTACTGCTGCCGATACAATTGTACTATTTATTATACACGAGGCGTTCGAACATTTTATACATAGGTCGACCGACAATCCTGGGGGTCCATGCAAAACCCTACGGATTCTACAGATCCATTGAGCAAAGCGATTGTGATCCAAAGGTGCAATTTGCCCCAGAAAGCAACGAATTGCACGAACATCGACATTCCAAGGCTTGGGTATCCATAAAAACTCTATACAACTGCAACCGGCTCAACGACAACCACCGCTTCATCGTTGGTGCTCTTGGATTCACCTTGCTCTTCCACACTAGCAGGAGCCTTGGGAGATGCCACCTCCTGCCGCACGCGACTGACAAGCGCGACCACCGCCACCACCAGCGACAACGACATCGTGCCGCACAAAAACCCAAGTAAGAACCCACTGGACAGAGAAAACGCTTCAACTGGAGCGCTCGATCCACCGACCACAATCGACAGCACACCCGTGTCAGGGTCCACGGCAGCCGTCCTGTTCTCTTCTG